ACCACTTACTTGTAGCGCTTTGCAGACTTGTAGCTCAACCAGCAGTCAATCTGTAAGCTTCAGAGTAGAGAGCTAATTCAAATGAACAAAACTTTTTCGACACGAAAATGGGGTGATTTAATGATTTCCTAGAAATTTGGAGCATGAGTTGAAAAAGGCAGCCTTGTGGTAATTGGAGTTAAGGATCTTAACGACACCAAAACAGGTTTAGAATTTCGAAATTAAATTATTACATAAAAGTTGTTAATTTGAACTTTAGGATGAAACTGTTAACAAAAGGAGCTCTGGTTATCCTTGATGGAAAATTTTTAGTAGCACTAAGGCTGCACTTTTCAGCCCAATCACCAAATTTCCAAGATTTTTCAAACTCCCCTCGTTTGCATAGTGCAAAGAAACCTCGCTCTTTTGAATAAGCCTAGACAGCTTGCAAAGCGGTGCAAATCTGCGCTGAGAGGTAGGTGGGATCATTTGCATTCACTGGCAAGAGCCATTTTATCAACAAAAAAAACTCAGCAGTACAACTCCTATGCATAGAGGTTGGCAAAAAGCATCTATTTTATTCAAGCAGGTTTGTCAGGACGGTCGGTTTGAATCGCTTTTCATGTAAAGAAATTTGTTTTGAAAGAGGGAATTAGAGGTTATTCTCTAAAAAATACAAAATACAATTCAAGCTTGGTTTTTTAAAGGAAAGTAACCATAACCAAGTGTGGTCCCTGACGAGTTTTGTAAAGTAGTATGCTTACCTATTCGGATAACAATTTTCTTGCTGCAAAAAAGAAACTGAAAGAAAACTTTTGCATTTGATGATTTGTTGTCCGCGACATTGTGACGCAGCCAAATGTGTGCATTGTAGCTCTTGATGAGCCCTACCATTTGATGCTCCGATTATTTTTTCATCTTTGTTTTCCATCTGAAAATGAGCGATGAAAGCCAAACGGTTAGTCCGCAAGTTTTTGATGAATATGTAATTACGATATTCCTTTTCCTTTTACCCTCAAAGCGACATTCAGCTTGACGTACTCGAATGTGATGGTAATCCATGATGATGACAATTCACCAAAAATCTTTTCAAACTCTAGTGAGCTGTCAGTATCATAAAATTATTGATGTCTTATCATTAGTAAATTTTTCTATACAACAGTATTTAACTTAGTCTTTTTGCCTTCTTTTTTGAACAGCACTCTCATCTCTAGAAGTCTGGTCAGCAGGCAGCAAGTTCTAATCTAATTGTGACGTGTGTCTAGTGAAACTTGTATTTTTGTTTCTCATTCTTTTCATACTGGCGCAACTCTTGTGCATAAAATCAATGAATAGAGCAAAAATTCTTACTAGCCCGGATTAGCGTTCAAAAGCAATAGATCGGCAGAATGTACGCCTGTCAGATTTTGGTAGTTTCAGGATGTATACTATACTTGGGTAACTCGAAAGTTTTACATCGAATGAATGAATATCGAATAAATTCGAAAACGAAAAATTTCGAATAAACGAATTTTATACATATAAAGCTGAATGTCTGTTTGTATGTCTGTATGTCTGTATGTCTGTCTGTGAGTACGTATGTTCCGAATAGAAAATTCCATTTCTGAACCGATCGGGACCACAGCTAGTATCGAATAAATTTGAGGTTTAAAAATTCTTGAATGAATGAATTCCGAATAAATTCGGAAAATCAAAAATATCGAATGAATGAATATCGAATATATTCGAACATTGGAAGTCGAATTTCGAATAAATATTTGAATGATTTATCGAATAACTAGAGCAACCATATCTCAAACTTGCCGATATATCTGGCTAAAGCAATCCATTCATAATCAGCACCCTTGTATCCCCTATACCAACTCCTAGCTCAAAATTTTCCAAAAATCGCTGAAATCGATAAAATAGATTTCGGTTTTAATCAGAATCCTCATTTATTCCCCTGTATCAACTCCCGATCTTGTAGCTCGAGATTTTCCAAAAATCGACAAAATCGATAAAGTAAATCTTATTCATAATCAGCATCCCCATTTACCCTCCCCTCCCCCCCCCTGTATTAACTTCCAACCTCGTAGCTCGAGATTTTCCAAAGATCGACAAAATCGACAAAGTAATTCTTTATTCATAACCAGCGTCCTCATTTCCCTGTACCAACTCCCAGCCCCGCAGTTCGAACTTCTCCAAAAATCGATGACGTTTGTCGGTTGGCAACTAGTCTATACATCAGCAAAAAGTCGTATTTTACCCATTATTGGGCGATCTAAAAAAGCAGTCGATAAAAATTCTGATCAAAACTTATTCTAGAAGTACAGAATGCATCATGCATCAATATATCTTTTTGGTAAGTTGTACACGCTCAACATTTGTGGTAAGCTGGCATTATATTTGAAGACATTTCGTAACTGGCAAATTGTGTAGGCGATCAAAACCGTCTAATCCTTCCTGCGATTCTTTTACTCAAAATACACCAATTCGCAAAAAATCTCTTAGGTAGCGAATAGAGGCAGTTGTGCAATTTAACTTATGCGAGCAAGACTGCTCACTAGTGTGGACTTTGCGTACCACAAGCATGAGCAATGCAAAGAAAGAAAAACAGTCATTTAAAAACACTTTCAACATATGAACTCGGAACATGCTTTGAATTGACAGCTTCTTTGCTGATTTGGTGCCAATAGCAGAGCGAACAATCTCATTGATCGAAAAAGCATCAATTAAAATCCACATATGATTTTTCTCCTGTCAAGCAGTCGGAAGAGTGCGACCCTCCACACAGTTCAAAGGTCATAACGGTTGCAAAAAATCCATTACCGAGTTTTGCGAAAAAAAACGCGGACGAAGTGAGCTTTCTACTCAGCTCTAACTCATTCGAATACGAATTCGAATAAACATTCGAATAAAACGTTCTGATTATTCGAGTTTTCGGATAATATTCGAGTCCTCGTTTTTTCATTATTCGAGTTTTCGAATTTTATTCGAAACCCTGTTTTTTGATTATTTGAGAAACCCCGTTTTCTCAATTATTCGAGTTTCGAATATTATTCGAAAATGGAAGAACTCCGAATATCGAATTTCGAATACGAATATATTCGAATGTTTTATTCGAATGATCGAATTTCTATTCGATTCGGACCCAAGTATAATGTATACCCACAAGAGTATACCGTAGTCCAATCCGGGTGAGGGAACTTAGGTCCCCTAACAGCCAACTGAGATGTAATTTCGGAGGTCATGAGTTGTCAATAACGATAATTAACAGAGCGCATGCTAGCCTCCCCCCCCCTCTATCCAGATACCTCTCACAACTTAGCAGAGGTCCACTAGGACGCGTACCGTGATAATGAAACAGGGATTTCAAACGAAATTGAAATGCAAAGTTCAGTATTGAAATTTCGCCAAACCAAGTGAAAACTTGGATTTAGTTGTTTTCAAGTACGCTCTTTTCAAATATGGAGATCCCGTCTGCCTCAAAGCTCACCACGGACCGCTTACTAAGAATGAAACAGGGAATTTCATACAAATTTCATTTGAAAATTCAGTATTGAAGTTTCACCAAACAAAGTGAAAATTTGGGCTTAGGGGTTTTCAAGTACGCTTTTTTCAAATATGTAGAGAATTTTTTCATTAGAACATGTACAAGGTTTGTAAAAAAAATTCAATTTTTTTGTATCAAATTTCAACCAATTCAGAAAAAACACAAACAGATTTTTTTAATGCAGTGCATTGTGAACGGAGTTTATTTGGGTCAAACGGCCTCAGGCAAGTCCATAGGATGTAACGGTAGATTACTGCGTTCAATTCTTTCATCGATTAGCCTGTGTTCATATATTTCATATATTTATTTTATCTCTATATATCTATATATTCATATATGGCTCAGCAAATGTATTTAGATGGTCTTCTCCGATACGAATTTTGACATATTGCTGCAATAATTTTCTATTACATCTGTTTCCAAAACTTCACTGGAAAGATATAATTGTTTAAACTCATCCATCGCCTGATCGATCTTGTGGCGTCGCTCTTGGTCCTTTTTGCGAAGAATTCTGCATGCATTAGCATTCTGAGAAAATCGTATATTCAGTGAATGTACACAAGAAACAATCTTTTGTTCCATTCATTATCACTTACCTGAGCGTAATTTTGTTTTCATGCAATTTGCCACTGTAAAAATTTTGATACTCGGAACGGTGAAGCATCAAAATAATTCAACTAGCGAATACGATGAAATTCTCTGCTACGATATGTTTTTTTAATTGGTTGAAATTTGATACAAAAAAATTGAATTTTTTTTACCAACCTTGTACATGTTCTAATGAAAAAATTCTCTACATATTTGAAAAGAGCGTACTTGAAAACCCCTAAGTCCAAATTTTCACTTGGTTTGGCGAAATTTCGATACTGAACTTCGCATTTCAATTCGTTTGAAATCCCCGTTTCATTATCACGGGACGCGTCCTGGTGGGCCTCTGCTAAGTTGCGAGAGGTATCTGGATAGAGGGGGGAGGGGGGAGCCTAGCATGCGCTCTGTTAATTATCGTTATTGACAACTCATGACCTCCAAAATTACATCTCAGTTGACTGTCAGGGGACCTAAGTTCCGTTCCCCGTCCAATCCCACTCTCTAATTCACGCGCTAGGTCCTGAAGAAAACGCTTCAAAGTTCCACCAATGACGCCCACTCAATGTAAGGGCGGGGCTGGTGGAGTTTTAAAGCTCCTTTACTAGCTCCTTTACCTGGGGGGTATACTACTATACTACCTAAACTGCCAGAATCTGGCAGGGGTCCCATTCTGCCGACCCACCCCCTTTAAGAACTGGTCCTTCAAAAAGAGGCGCACTTCAAGATAAACAGAGTGCAGCAGGCTCTCAAAGAAAATAACAGTCACGCTTTCCTGATAGGTAGTTGAAAAATATGGTTTGTTATCAATGATTGAACTAAAATTTGTACAGGTTTCACACTGTTTAGTATAACATCCCATTCAAGCTTTGCTTCGTTTGTATATTGATTGTGTACAACTTGAATGTATGAATTGTTTACAGTAAATAGCAATATGCTGATCAGCCACGATTTGATAATCACTCAAACCTCTAAATCGCTATTACAACATATCAAGAAGATTAACGCATATTGAGCTCAGAAACCGGTGAAAGTATTTCATACTTTCATAACACCTGCAATAACCTCTGATTCAATCTCGCATTCATTGTTTCCACGAAGGATTTTGAAATAACCTGGAAGCAGGACGTAGTTACATCATTTTTTTGTTGCAAAGAAATTATCGTTTTTTGAAAGTAGAAGCTAACGTACCCTCTTCTCCCCAATCTGAGTTCCAAGAGTTTGCAACCAGCCAGTACTTCAAACCGTCCTCCACACCCCACCCAATAATTTTAATAGCGTGAGCTCCCACAAGCCAGTCAATTGAATGCTGAATTTAGACTTCTTCACTAGAGAGTTGATTGTTTGAGTTCCGTCGAACGGCATACTCTGTTGCTAGGCTAACCAAATATTACACTTTGAGAATGCAATACAAAAACTCCTTTTTGACTTTTTGCGTAAGCACAACTGGGAGCAATTTTTACAAATTAGCTGGCGATAGTCCAAAATATTCTATATTATTGCAACACTGAACTACTAAATTTGACTTGTTGTCTTTGGAAGCTTGGTAATTGAAGGTTGCTACTAGGAGACTATCGTAAAACGCGAGCCTTCTCTTAATTCAAAAAATTTGGTTAATTAACTTTCGCATTATTGATATAAACATTTATAACCAGAAGATACTTGCAAATAAAAATGGAAGAGAACCGTACCACATAAACTCCGCCGGAGTAGAAGTGAAAGTCTAAGTATACCAGGAATGCAGCTTGAACGGGCCCTCCCGTCATTATCTCTTTTTGTATAGCTTCTTCATCTTGATCAACCAAGTATGCACTTTTTGCTAAAAAAAATTTCCGAAAAAAAAGCAAAAGAAAATTTTTGGGATTACCATATATTTTGTCGTCAGCGTATCGCTTTCTGTAAACAAATTGACATTTCTCACGGCAGACGGGGGTGTCCTCATTATCTTTCTCGCACTCGCCATAATATGGCTGACCTGCGTGCTCTCCGCATGGATGAAAAGAGTACGGCTTGCAGCAGCCCTAAAGAAATTAGATGCTTTTGTTTTTGATATGGGAATTATGTGGTGTTCAGTCATATATCAAAGTGCTACGCGTTTTCTGTGGTGGAATCAAGTATTTATTGAACTAATATTTCGACTGTCGCTTTCGTTGGAGGATGAGAAATGGATTGTAAGCTTTTAGAAGGGGGGGGGGATACCACCATTGATCGGCGGTTGAAAATGAGATGTACACCAGTAGACGCGCCTTCAAATGCTAATTCCAAATCTGCTTTTTTTTGCGGAATGAGTTTTCGAAAGAAGTTACGAGCGTTTGAATGTCCAAATTTGCCAAGGTTTAGGCCTAAAATTGGCGAAACCTATACAAAATCACCGGAAAGTAGACAATTAGTTTTGTGTCAATAATTGTTTGCAAGGAAGGAACAAAGCCGATGGAACTCGCATAGGTATTGTTTTAGAGCTTTTCGTTAATTTTAAGCCACACAATGCTTGGCAAATTTGAACATTCCAACGCTCATAACTTCTTTCGGAAACCTGTTTTGAAAAAAGGAAAGCAGATTTGGAATTAGCGTTTAAAGGCGCGTCTAATGATATACATCCCATCTCCAACCGCCACACAATGTTGGTATCCTTCCCTTATTAGACTTACTTATCATACCTTCGAGCGCCTCTTTCGCTCTGCAGATCTAGACCTATTCTTAACGCTGACTTTAAACCGTCTCCGTATCTGCTAAATGTTTTTGTAGGCAACCTATGAGTTATTGCGAGAAAATTACATGAAATTTGCAAAATTGAGAACCATTATTACCCAAAGCTAATTATTGCAGCATCAAACTGATTATGGTTTTGTACGATCAAATTTGTACTTTTAACGCTTGATTACTCAACAATATAATAGCTCATGAAGGTTTACAGTTTCGTCCACAAACTAAGCAGTTGAAAGATGTAGATTTGACGTTCTATGCTGCGTTTTATGGCATTAGGCTTTACTGATTACTTTGGTTTCCGACCATTTTCTCGTAAGGGCTCGCAGCATGATCTTCTTTGAAGCAGAAGACAAACAACCTTGACTCTTCCGATTGATGGCAAGCATGCAAATCAATTGGTGATCAACGTCGCTAATTGTCCTTCGTAAATCAAGGTCTTTTGTGCAGCACTAAGCACCTAATGCCATAAATAGACCAAGTCACTATTAAGACAGCTTAAATTCCAATCAGAAAGTCAGACAAGCCTAGACTAGATTAGAAAGCTCGAAGGTTCAATAAGCATGTTCTAGACGTCTAACGTAAACGTTTATGGGAGAATTGACTAGATAAATTTTTTCCACAGAATTTGGTTCACATACGCTGACATCACTGACAAAATTTGAATTAAATTGCACAAAAATTGCTCAAAGCAAATACTCGTTACCCTAGCCAAATATAGGCCGCCAGAACAAGTTCCATTTTCTTGCACATATTTCCAAGCTTCGAGAGTGTATCCTCCATCACACCTGCAATCTCAATAGTTGCGCATCTCCTCAAAAACATTATGCGCTGCAGATGATCTAAGCAATAGAAAAAATTATAATTGAAGAATCAGAAGATTTTCGAAGCTACCTTCAGAAGCTCTGTTTCGGAAACGGAACTGCATCTTTGAATATGCAGCATAAAAGCACTGAGTTTACTGAACTGTGCGGCTAGAGCATAAGTTTCAAAAGTTTCTGAAGCTACATTTCGAAGCTCTTTGGAAGCTCTAATCCGTAAACGGAGCACTGAGTTTATTGTATTGTGCGACTAGAGTAGATGCCTATCGGACATTGATTGCTTACGAAAGTTTGCACTTATGTTTGTGAAATTTACATAACCTATATGTAAACCAACAAAATCAAGACTTGCATCTTCACTAATGTGACACGATCGTCCCTATAACCGTTCTCCGCAAGAGTTTTTTGTAATCACCTATCTAGATACATGTAAAAAATTTCAATGAAGTAGAAGCTTGAAGTTCCTCCTCACAAAACCGCTATCACCCATGTTACCATTCTGACCGCTGTTAAATGATATTAATCCCTACATCCTGTGGCAGTAATCATCAGCAGATCTGAAGAGTAAAATTTAACCCTCGAAGGGAAGTTTTACCATAGAAAGCGATTAGCCCGTCTCACAAAGCGCAAAGCATGCATTTGAGGTAGAATATACCTTAAAGGTATCTTCAACAGATTAACGACCGCTTGACACACCAGGTGTGTCAAGCAATGACTACCACTTTGGATCGCTCGACATACATGGTGTCAAGGTTCAAATTTTAGTAAAATGACGACTGTCTCAGGAGAAACTCAGTTCAAAAGTTTCTTCTGCCTTGGAGCTAGAAATAACCTCTATCTGTTTAGTCCGTCTCACAGAGCTACTGTAGGTAAACTGTAGATGGCAGTATGCGTGATTTTAACTGAAAATTGTTGACTGGTACATGACAGGTCTTAATCCCAGAAGGCAGACAACTCAAAATTCTGGTCGTCAATGTGTTAACTAAAAACTGATTGAGGTAAGCTCCCCTTGAGAAACACGGCTCATAGGGGTAAAATCAACCTTAGCAGGGAGCAGGGCAATTACCTTGACACTTCGTACAAAAATGAACTGCACCGCTTAGTCCTAACTTTAGTCTTAACTAATACTTTCGACAACAAATGCGTATAACTCAACATCCCAAATCAAAGCAATAGTTTTCGGCATACCCTCGATACACGAAGCTACGTACTCTGGTAACTTTCACGTTGAGGGCTATGAGGGGACACAACCTTCACCTGGAAAAAATAGAAGTCATCCGGGGCGAAGCCTTAGATGTTATTATCCTGACTATCTCGGAATGAATGTTAATGAAGTAAATATAGGGAGTAAGATCTTTGGAATATCTCAACGAAACCGAGAATTTGCGTTTTCAGCTTTTTTTACGTTAAAAAGAAAGTTTTTGTGAGATTTTCGCCGGAATTCAGCACAACATTTCTCATTTAACCTTTTACTTGACCAAAATCGAGTTTTAAAGTTTCTGAAAGCTGTTAAAGTTGAATAAAGACGAAAAACAGGTTTGAAATCTTGCGCAGAGAGTCGCGAGCGAAAATGCTGGTCTATCTCGTTAGTGAGTTATTTTCAACGCCTAAAATGTTGTCAGCTCTTCTTCGTGTCATGGCGATCAAAATGATATATAATGTCACAGGGTTTCTTTGAGACCCCGCGGAGATCTACGACCAGAGCCAAATGCCCTGCCGTCTCTGGTCTGTCTCCGCTTCTCTGTGCGTCTCCGCGCGCTGCGCGCTACCTCGCTACCCCAAAACGCGGGGAGCGGGGCATTTGGCTTTGGCACCCGAAGCACTTGATCTCTATTTTCACGCTGACAACGTCCTAAAACCATATTTTTGATTTGATCGAGAAATCCGCCAAAAACTTTGTTTTTGAGAATCTCTCATTTTTCTCCTAGTTTGACTCTTTTCACGCGACTTTTTTGTGCTCTATAGATCTTGCTTCTCTTCATAATGCAGACAACCACCCAGCCCTTATCTCTTCGATTATGGTGGAATTTTTTGCAAAAGATTGTTAGAAGTTCTTTCCATGTTCGGCTGTCTTTTAATCTTGTCATATTATGTAGTCGTATATTGTAGTGTTTAGCAAAGAGACAAGATTGTTATGAGCTTTTGGCCGACATTTCGGCGGTTTCGCCTTCTTCAGAGCCTGGAAGGTCAAAGTCAGCAATCTTTTCACTCAGTCGTCAACAGAAGGTCCAGATCTGCATTCGATTGGTTAGATGTGCTTGGAATTACGGTAGTGAAGCCTACCTCGGATGACCAGTACGAGAGCTGTAGCGAACACGCTATGACAAGACCATCCCTCAACTCTTTTTATATGTGCTCACGATTAAATCCAAATAGAGAATGATAGGCTGATAACTCTTGCGTAACGGTGATACACTCTTCTTTAGCATTCATTTTTGGATTTTTCGTAAAAATCCAAAATGCCTCTAATATTTTGCGTGCAAGGATCTCAGGCTCAAAGGATAGGGTCTTCACTCCAACTTAAAACACCGTGTTGTCATGGCGTGTAATGCCGTGCGAACCTAGATGTGTGGCTTTCCTCAAGTCTTGCAGTCCGTTTAGATGTTCCTTTATGCGGCAGCAAAGAGGCCGTCCAGCCTCAACAATGTAAGTATTTCCACAAGACAAGCACGTTATGAGAATAAGATATACTACGCCAAAAATCATACAGTCACCATTTTTGCTTTAAGGACAAAGCACACAGTTTGGGGTCTGGCAAATGCGATCATAGGCGCGATTTCGTATTAGGCGTTTTTAAAGGTTGGCGGGCGGTATATCGACAACTCTGACAAGATTTTCTAAGCTAGTTTGCTTTAGGCAGCGACGAACTGCACTGCTCAATTCATTAGAGATGAATGGTACACAAAATGCTATCTTACTATTGTCTTTCTGGTCAGGTTGATGTTGAAACCGCGCGTTGTCGTTGATTTCTCGCCTATGTAACCTTTCATTTTCGCGATTTTATTCGCGCTTCAATAGATTGCAAGCGTTCCTCGCGACTAGATGATACCCGAGCAGCTGTTTTGTACATTTGACTTATCACGGCTCTTTTCATCCTTTTTGGATGCGCGGACAAGTTATGTATCAAAATATTTTTACTTCTTGGTTTACGGTACCACTTAGTTCTGTATTCTCCGTTTGACAGATGAATTTCTACGCTAAGGTACGCTAACCATTTTTTGTCGGGCCTCTCGCGCGTAAAACTGATGCTGGAGCACTGCTGATTGAGAATATTGAAACTATCCAGTTCTGCTTGCGTAGAACATATTATTCAGCAGTCATCTATATATCTATAATAAAGCAGTGGTTTTCGCTCAAGTACTGACGTTTCGATCTTTGACATGAATACGATAGCAAGAGTTGGCGCCAAGCGCTGTCCCATTGCTAAGCCTCTGAGTTGTTTAAAGTAATGCCCCGACCATCAAAACACAGTGCATTCAAGGCATGCGCGAAGAGTACTCTGCGTTGATACCACTGCTT